AAACTTGGACTCCAAGCCCCCACTCCTGAGTCCCGGACTCAGTGTGGTGCAAGGACCTCCACCATCTACGCCTCTAATCAGTCGGTCCGAAAGAGCCGGATCCGTGACAAGAGAGCAACAAGTCTTCCCTGCGCCCATACCCAAGTATGCGCTCGGGACAATAAATCTGTGATTTGCCTAGAGTCATATGCAACGACCGGTCCTTAATCGACACGGATAGGGAAAAAGTATAACTGAGCTATGCCCTGTTGGCCGCAGGACACAACCCCTCACACCCACCAGTACCCAAACCATATCCTTGTCCGGTCACCATTTTCCTTTCCACCATTTTATCATGAGTGATCATATTTTATTAGCTATTTACGAGTAAAGGCAGATTACTCATGCTACCGATATCCTGAGCATAGCAACTACTCGACCTATATTAGTAGGACTCAAGGGTAGATATATTTATGCATGTAGTTTCCATAAAATGCCTGTAACTTAAATGTACATCACATATATATATTCAGTGATCATTAAAATAGGGGTTATGCACCGGGGCTTGCCTTGGGCAGGCGACGGGTCAGTAAGGTCAGCACCAACAGGCTCCAGGGCTCCCTCCTGCACGAGGATCTCCTCCTCGTACTCCCCGATCACCTCATCGTACTCCTATTCGTCGACGGGCACAAATTCTACTACCTCGTGATCTACATGAAATGACAATGCAATGTTTAATAATATGACAACGGAATTTCTTAAAATAAAAGTACATCAATTTACTACTAAGCTAGTGATACCGATCACGGTGCTAAGCTATCTATTGTCACCGATAAGTTGAGGTATGACATTCATTATTATTATAACAACTACGGTTATTCTTACTACTAATGCTGATTTACGCTAAATACGATAATGCAAGGGTAATAGCTACGTTATTTAGCAACTCCTTCTAAGGCTACAAAATTTACAGCCAGTACCTAATAACCTAGTGAACCTACTGTACAATGTTTATGTCTATAGCTATTACCAATTGCCCACAAATATTCCTACAAATATTAATCTACATAATATTTACCCACTAGTTTGGAATTTATGACCCAATACTTGCCACAACTAACTGCAATCAAACTATACTAACAAATAGACGGTATTTTTGCGAACCTAACAAAATTAGTCTCGCTATTTTTGGATCACTACATAATTTACTACAAATTCTTAAAGTTCAGCTTGAAAACTTATTTGAATAAGCAGTTCTATTTTACTGGAAATTAAGAAAACAAATTCTAACTAAGGCACTATTCCTCTAGTCTAATAACGGCCCACGACGGGAGAGACCCGCGCGCGACGTTAAACATGAAAAAACGCCCCCAAACTACTCGGTATTTACTGCGAGCTCTAAGGCACTATTCCTCTAGTCTACGATTTTACAACTACGCCATCCCCTTTCTTCTTCGTCGTCACGGCGACATCCCCAACACCCATGCACGCACCGGCATGACCACGCGGGCACCGGGCGGCCACGCCGGCGTCACCCAACCCTCCATGTCCTATCTAAGGGACCGATGGTTACCTCGACGACAACGCGCAGCGACTGGAGGCGATATGGCGAACAGGGGCGTGGTCCCGAGCTCCCTCCCCGACGGTGGTCCTTGACCTGCGATGGCGGGTGCGTTCCCGTGAGCCACAGCGAAAGCGGAGCAAATCAATTAGCTAGCGAGCTCTAGGAACTACCCACGGAGACCGTTGAGGTGTCGGTTCGGCCAGAGATGGCCCGAGCCAAACTGGCCGCGTGCGCACCGACGATGCGACGGCGCACGGCGGTGGCACGGCCGCGTCGGGGAAGGCGGGGCTGCTGTAAAGCTACAACTGAGGTGCGCAGGGTGCTCAGGAGGGTAAGACTAGGCTGGTGGTGCGATGAATCGCTACTTGGTGCTCGGAATGGTTGGCTTGCCGACGGTGCGTGTCCGTCCGGTCTTATGGACCCGGCGGAGCGGCGTTTACAAATTGAAGCTCTATGCAACGGTACACGCAGCAAGGTGGGGACGGTTGCGCGGCCAGCTACCCAGCGGAGCCGAGGGTGCGATGAATTGGAGTATAGTGTTGCGATCACGGCGAATTGAAGGAAAGGGGGTCCCGTCGGCCATGGCGACAGCGAGGACAGGGGAGCTTTGGCACGGCTTGGTTTGGCCCGGCCGTGGATGTCAACGCAAAATACAAGCACGCACAACTATGGGGGACAGCAGGGCGTGCTCCAGGCGACTGTCCGCACGGCCGAGCCCGCACGCTGATGAAACTCGGTACGACGCCACAGCGGACAGCGCCGGACAAGAGAAGCACGCGCAACGCGACGCCGAGGTGATGGTGGAGCAGTCTGTCGTCCTACGCGCGAGCAGTCACGGTGAGTCAACGGAAGCAGTGCCGGGCGTGGCCACTAGCGGCGTGTAGCGCGGGACCCGGTGCGCCTTCGGCCAGAGCAGGGCAGGGCAATGCACGGTCGGCCTCCTGGATGCAGCGCGTCAGCCACGGTGACGTGACCCGCATGCCAGTGAGTGACAGCAGGCAGACAAGGCAGCAGCGCTAGGACAATGCGCGTGTGTGCCTTCACGACGGCAGTGAGGACGCGGCCGGCGCTTCGGCGCGCACACTAGGCTAGCTAGCAGCAACGCCAAGGACAATGCGTGGTGGCAGACGGCCTCAGCCCGCAGCGCAAGGACAGGGCACGTGCGTACATGCATAGGCGCGGCAGTGGGACGCAGCCGGCGTGGCAGCACGCGCTGGTGAGCCAGCAGCGGTGCCAGGCCAGCAGAGGGTGGTGACCGCGTCAGGAGCTAAACTATGTGCCGTGCACGCTTTTTAAAGCAGTTCAAAAACTCGAACCCGATACTCCGAACGCCAAACCAGTTGTTCGATGCGCAAGAGGGTACGTAGGGCTATCGACCAGAGTCATGACATCATGCCACTCGCTAAGCCGATCGCTCTACAACAATTGCCAAAAGTGGCTTCGTCGACCCTTTTTCAAACTTACGCGAAAAGACTTAACTTCGAACGGTTACTCGTCGAATCCCAATTTAGACCCACTGGGTATGCTAGCTAACGAACCTTGTCCTCGACCGCACACATTTCATTGTCGCCTACGAAGTACGTACTACCAACTCTATCAAGGTTCGCGTAGACGTTCTATAGCATTTTGTTCGATAAAAATTCGGTTAGAATACTAAACCATATTATGTGACATGAAACATAACATTGATTTCTTGTTTCGTATAAATGTTTCAAGTACCGAACATTGATTTATAATTCATGTTATACACATTTGCACATAAGTATGATGCTCATGCAGTGTTTTAACAAAGATAACACAATGTAACACCGAGGGTGTTACACACCTAAAACATACTTTTGCAACATAGGGAAAGAGAAGCCTTGGCCAGTCGATTCCAGCTGTAGGAGTCAGAGCCGGCGGCGCATGAGCACCACCGCCACCATCGCCACCAGTACCAGGCTTGGCTCGGTGGCAACGGTGAGGGATGAGGGGCAAGGAGCCATGGCTGCTGGGATGGTGGGGGAGGTCGGTCGTCAGGGTGAGAGAGGGTGTCACCGGGGGTGGTGAGGGTGCAGCGCTGGGGTGGAGGAGAGCCGCCCACTCCCCTGCAATACCGACGCGCCACCTTCATAGATCTCGCTCTTGCTCTATGGATCTTGCCGGGTAGGGGAGAGGGTTGCCAGATTTGCGGGTGTTGGGGGTTCCCGGTGGTGGAGGACGCCAGGAACTGGTGTGCTGTGGCAGGGGATGAGGAGCGCACGGAAGGGGTAAGGACGGGAGCAGAGCGGAGCAAGGCGTGCGGAAGTTGATTTTGTTTTTTTAGACGAACGACACATGTGACAGTGAGTGGAGCACGGTGTTCGGCCCTTCCGGATGTCTTAATGGCCCCGTTCGCTTCGCTGAAAAACAAGCCGAAACACTGTTCATGCTGATTTGTTGTGAGAAAAATACTGTCCCGGATGAAAAAACAAGCTGAAAAAGTACGGATTATAAGAGGAGCGAACAGGCTGAATGGTAGCATTACCATTTTCTTTATATTAAACTTGATCTAAGATAATTTAAGCTACGTTCGCTGGTCTGGTTTTACCAGACCAGCCGGCTGCTTCTCCTTGCAACAACCGGCCAGTTTCAGCCGCTACAGTGTTTTTCTCTCACAATAACCAGCCAGTTTCAGTCAAATTTCAGACCAGCGAATGGGGCATTAACTTATGGAAAATTTATACTACCTTTGGTACCTAAAATTACTTTTTTAGATAGATTGAACAGGCACTACAAAAACAGGTGAGTTGTTCCCACCTCCCTAGAGGAAAGGTAGGAAACGATACTCCAGACATCATTTCAGCATTTCAATACGGTTCAGGCCAAACCGAACGTCATATACTTTCTCAGGCTGCGTTCTAATTTTATCTACAGATACATGGGATTTTGGGGTCCTTCCCGTGTCTGATGTCTCACCAAAAGGAGGCCAAAAGGACCGACAGCAAATTCAATCCCTGTTCGGATCTTTAGATTCAACGACTGCTGAAAGCCTGAAACACAGAGGGACAGGGATCACGGCCTGGTGCAGGGCTGGCCCTTCCCTACACCGTACCATGACCGTGAGCGTCGGGTTTATAGGTTACTTTTTTTAGCCGATGAACGTAAATTAGCTAAAGATATTTTCAGCTATAATTTATCGGCAAAGCAAACAGTTATGTGGCCACACGTAGGACTATAGGAGCCTGCTCCTGGGAGCCGTTCCTGAGGCATCCAATGCCCTATTCGTTTGGACTAGTTTAGCTTATAAGTTATGACTAAATTTACTATTGATTAATTTGGTATGAGAGAAAAATACTATTCATTGACCGGTAAGCCATGGCTTATCGAACAGGCTGAAGTACCTGTTCTATGTAACAAAAGAGTTAAAAGGAAAAACTCGTTACTAGCAGCTTCTGGATTTGTAACCATACTGCAAAACAAAGGTCAAGATGCATGAATGCGCAAGCAAAAACAAAATCTTAATCCGATACCACCCTGCATCAAAAGCAAATTTGCACTAATTGCTCGACATAAGGGGAAGGCAGGTGGTGCCGTCGAGGATTTAGGCGTGGATGGTGATTCAGTTGAGGATCCAATTCGCGAAGATCTGCTACGACGCCGTCGACTGACCCTGGCGCCTCGGCCTATCTCCGTTCTGGCAAGATCGAGACTGGTGGGTTCCGCTGATGAAGCTTCTGTACATCCATCGGACAACCAGCTAGAGGATGAAGAGGCGCCTGCGACGTCGGCGGAGTACGGTGAGTTTTTCCATTCAGCTATTTTGGCAGGTTTTAACCCCGACGAGGCAACTGGTTATGCTCTCGAAAAATGTTCCGGCGAATTCAATGTCAACAAGAACAAGTTCTCTGCACAACCAGAGGAAACTTTGTGTGAAGATTTTTGGAATCAAATCGGCTTCCCAAAGGGATCTCGATGGTGGGAGTCTGACTCACAGCTCCCTTGCCAATCGACTTTTGCTGGTTCTCAATCTTCAAACGAGGCTGATACTGTGGATCGGGAAAATACTCGATCATTCGCAAATCACCCTGCTCGTACAAAAATTTCCTCTCCGGCGACCTAGGATGGTTCGTCCATGGAGGGGACCCTTGCCCAAACCTCGTTCGTCAGCTCCAGTGACGCTGGCCACATTCATGCCGCCTGAATTGGTAACTAATCCCGATCGGGTTGCCGTGGATACCGCGTCTTGCATGGCAGTAAATTCAATTGCAAAACAGAGTCAAGATCTACGAGTCCTAGTTGAGCGGGAAAAATCCTTTGGTCGGTCCAGAGGTGATCTGGTGCGATCGTGTCCTTGGCGGACCCACGTGCGGGTGACACAAAAACACCAAATGCCAATAGCGCTCATAACCTACGCGAGCCGCCGCCATTCCATCTCGCCCTACCTACGCCGAGATGGCGGCTCGTGCACCACCACCACCGAATCGTGAGGCTCCTCCACGCCCTCCACCGATTCGCAATTTTCACCAAAACAGACCCCCACGCCGGTTCGATTGGCCTCAGAGAGGTCGTGGGCTCGTGGCACTGGACTGGGCGTTGGTCATGGATATGTTAGCCGTCATCTAGGAAGACATAATGCAGCAGGGAGTGGAGATGGTCGTGGAGCCCAATCGGACCATGACTGGAATCAACGTGGCCACCAGCAACACTTTCAGCAAGCAGAATACCGGCCTCGTGGGCGAACTGAAGCGTCTTCTGCTACTGTGGAGGCAATAAAGCAGCAAGACAAGCCGGAGGCATCAGGTTCGCATCCACAGCCTTTGGCCTCCACTGATCTTGCAAAGCCGAAAAAGGTCAAACCACCTCGTTGTTTTAGGTGTAAGTGTAATGGGCATTTAGCAGATTGTTGCAAGGCGGATCTAGATTGTTTTATTTGTAATAAGAAGAATGCCCACATTTCAGCAAAGTGCCCTCTGGTTGAGCTTCCAAAACCAACAGCGTCCATGCTAGGTTTTGCTAAGAATGAGCTGGGTTTTTTCCACATACCAGATTTTGAGTACAAATTGGATACCCCGAAACCTTCTCCTACTGCTTTGATAAAGGTTACCGGGGGGAAAATTGATGCAGCCACGGTTCAGACAGAGCTTGCAAAATTCATCACAGCAGACTGGAACTGGGAAGCGCTTCCTCATGGGGATGACTCTTTCCTGGTGGAATTCCCATCTGAGGATGAACTCAAACGAAGAGTCGATATTGATTTTTGTTTGAAGAATCATGGGGTCACATTGACAATCTCAGAGTGGCAGGATGCTAGTGACTCTATTCCGGCTTATCATCTTGATGAAGTTTGGGTTCATGTCAGTAAAGTCCCTCATCCTTGGCGCCATTACCCTGGCTTTTGGGCACTCGGTACAGTCATTGGTGCTACTCTAGAGGTTGATATGCTCACTCATAGGAAAAAAGGTGTGATCTGGATTCGGGTGGGGACGATGAGCAGAGAGTATTTACCCTTTACCACCGATGTGGTTTTTGGAAAAGTAGGACATGAAGTAACTTTCAGTTTGGAGGAGGCAAATTTTGAGCCAGCAATTCCTCCACCGAATCCAGATTACTCTGATCGGGATGAGGATGCGGCTGGAAAAGATGATGCAAATCATGGGCGTGATGGTGGACAGGCCCAGAAAAAGCAGAAAACTATAGAGAACATGTCATCTTCATCTAATGCCCCTACTGGAGGTGGACCTGTGCCAATGCAATTGGCAACTGCGATGTCACTGCTTGAGAAAAAAGGACTAGGGAAACTGAGCCAGTTACTAAGCCTAGATGACATAGCTAAGCTACCGACTGTGTATGTTACCTCTTCGGCCAAGAATGTCAAAGGCAATGCATGTTCAGGAAAGAGTCTTCATCCACCAGAGAAAGCTACTAGTGGTGAACGTACTAGTACTGAACCCAGTTTGGAAGCTACAAAACGATCATTATTGGCTGGGACACATACTTTGCCTTCTGATCAGTCACGCTCGCCCAGGCTCAGCAAAAAGGTGACACCTACTCAGCCCATGCCAACCTCGCCTAGGCCAAAGGTTGGGACAAACAGCAGGTCGACATCACCTATTCCCATGCTGTGTGAAATTGATAGCAGTGTTAGACCGGAGATACCTCATAGTAGCAGTTCTGCTCCGACCATCAGGCAGACAGTTAAGCCTGCAGAATCAGGCGATCTGTTGATGTCAAGGTTGATGATTCCGCGTTCGTAGGCTTCAAGCAAGCCGGGCAAAGATGTTCCAGCTAATATTAATGATGGTTCAGGGTTACAATCCCCTTCAGGTACAAATGAAAATTCATTATCGCTATTGAATTCAACTGAAGGACTACGCCGTAGTACACGTACTAATGTCCAATCTGCTGATGGAATTTCCACAGCTGACGAGGATATGACAAGCAAAGCTATGGAAGGGCTGCCATCCGAAATTTGGATAGCCCTCCGGAGAAGAAGTCGGCGGCTACACAGAGTGTGGTACCGCATTCGCCTTCATCTCCGTCGATTCCACAGCCTAGTATGCATAGCTCCTGCCCTGCTATTTCCTTTATTCCTATTTTGAATGCTTCTTGTGTTAGAAATCTCAGTAACTTAGGTTATAAATTAGGTAATAGCAGTGCAGAGTGTACTTTGTCTATCAATGCTTTAAAAAATAGAAGTTGATAGAACGATTGTAACACCACCCACAAAACAATCGAAAAAAGGAGATATGAATGCGGGTGTTACTAAACCATTGATTCTTGATGCTAGTGACGACGAGGCCGTCGTAGATGACGACCTGGTCGCTCATTTGATCAAGGATGTGTCGGAGGTGGATTTTGAGGTCATGGACCTGGACATAAAATTATGTGATCTGAAGGCCACTGTTCGAAAATCAAAATCTACCTCGAGAAAATGTAAGATCTGGAAAAGGATCATAAATAAAACCTAGTTTACCAATGAAAGGTTTCTTTGAAATAGCAGAGCTTTATCGGACCTAGCTAAATTCCGATATATTTCAGAGGCAGTAAAGGACCATAGTCTAGATTTCATTGCTATCATGGAAACAGGGAAACAAGACATGTCAAAGACGAATTTGGCACGACTCTCGGGAGGTGCGGATTTCGTTTGGCATTGTCTTCCACCTCGTGGTAGATCTGGTGGAATCCTTCTTGGAGTCAACACAGAAATGCTACACCTTTCCTTGATTGTAGAAGGGGAATTCTATATTAAATTCCATTTATGCAACAAGGCAAATAATTTCAAATGGATCCTTATGACGGTCTATGGTCCAGCCCAGGACGATTTTAAATCGGCCTTTTTAGCTGAACTAGTTAGAGCATGCCAACAAAATCCTTTACCCACATTAATTGGTGGAGATTTTAATATTTTGAGATCTAGCAAAGATAAAAATTATGACAGATACGTTGACCGTTGGCCTTTCCTGTTCAATGCTGTTATTGATAGTTTTAATCTTCGGGAAATTGATTTAACGGGACGGCAATTTACTTGGGCCAATTCACTACCTAAACCCACATACGAGAGATTGGATAGGGCTCTTATGTCGACTGAATGGGATTTTAAGTATCATTTAGTCTCGCTACAGGCCTTGGATAAGGGGGGTGTTGGACCACACACCCCTACTATTAGATACGGGGACACCGGCCTTTAAGGGGAATAGAAAACAGTTCAAACTTGAATTAAGTTGGTTCACCTATGAGGATTACAATGATCGAGTTATTGAGATCTAGAATAGGCCGGTGAAAGGTAGGAATTCAGTCCAACATTGGAACAATAAGTGCAGTGCCTTGCGGAGACACTTACGTGGATGGGCTTCCCATTTTAATGGAGTTTATAAGCAAAGAAAGGTCAAACTTCAATAATTAATGACCTAGACATTGCTGCGGAGGTTAGGGATTTGATTGAACCTGAACAAGAAAATCTTGCTCAATCTCGGGATCAACTGACAAAATTACTTAGAGAAGAGGAAATCAAATACTATCAGAGGGCAAAGGTAAAAGATGTTCTTTTGGGAGATAACAACACTAGATACTTCCAAATGGTCGCCAATGGTAAACATAGGAAAAAAAGAATTTTTTCCCTTGACCATGCAAATGGCATTGTTAAGGTTCAGGCAAACCAAAAAGCCTGTATGACTAGGTTTTATAAGAAACTTTTAGGAGAACCTGAGGTTAGTTCCTTTACTCTGGAGAAGGACATGATCTTCGATATTCCTCTGGTTACACAGACTGAGAATGACATTCTAACCGCATTCTTTACCGAGCAAGAAGTGCAAGAAGCGATTTTTGATATGGAACATAATAAAGCACCTGGTCCAGATGGTTTTCCAGCTGAATTTTATCAAAAATTCTAGAATACCATCAAAGGGGATCTAATCCAAATGTTCCATGACCTATATGCATGGGATTTACCGCTTTTTAGTTTGAACATTGGGGTAATTACCCTTATCCCAAAAGTCCAAGAAGCGAACGTGATTCAACAATATCAGCCGATCTGCCTACTTAATACGAGCTCCAAAATTTTCACAAAAGTTGCAGTCAATAGGCTAAATTTAGTGGCAGACCATGTTATTAGTCCAACTCAAACAGCGTTTATGCGAGGACAAAACATTCTAGAGGGTGTTGTCATCTTGCATGAGACTGTTCATGAGTTGCATCGAAACAAACTAAGTGGGGTACTCCTCAAGATAGATTTTGAAAAGGCGTATGATAAAGTTAAATGACCCTTTCGCTTTCAAGCACTACAAATAAAAGGGTTTTCTCCCAAGTGGATAAATTGGGTTAAAACTTTCATTTCGGGTGGGAGTTTAGCAATTAATGTTAATGACGATGTCGAGCATTTCTTTCAAACTAGGAAAGGCCTTGACAGGGCGATCCTTTATCCCCATTGCTTTTAACATTGTAGCAGATATGCTAGCTATTCTTATGAATAGGGGCAAAGTAGATGGGCATATTAGTGGAGTAGTGCCTCATCTCATCGATATTGGATTATCCATTCTACAATATGCTGACGATACAATTCTTTTTATGGATCATGACCTTGAGAAAGCCCGAAACATGAAGTTGTTGCTTAGTGTCTTTGAGCAAGTATCAGGTTTAAAAATCAATTTTCATAAGAGTGAATTGTTCTGTTTCGGAAATGCCCAAGACCACCTTGATCAATACGTCGAATTTTTTGGCTGTAAGTATGATGATTTTCCAATTCGGTATTTGGGAATTCCTATACATTTTAGGAAGCTTAGGAATGCTGAGTGGAGGAAGGTTGAGGAACGTTTTGAGAGGCGACTGGGTAGTTGGAAAGGAAAACATCTTTCAATTGGGGGACACTTAACATTAATAAATTCAGTGCTTAGCAGCCTACCAATGTATATGATGTCCTTCTTTGCCTTGCCAAAAGGAGTCCAAAAGAAATTGGATTATTTCTGGTCTAGATTTTACTGGCAAGGAGATGAGCAAAAAAAAGAAATATCGTTTAGCTAAATGGAGCATATTATGTCAGCCCAAAGACCAAGGAGGTCTTGGAATTCATGATCTGCATATTAAAAATATTGCTCTACTTAGTAAATGGTTGTTCAAGTTACTTACCACAGAGGAGACTTGGTAGCAATTACTCCGTAATAAATATTTAGGCTCGAAACCATTAATACAAGTGGAATGGAAAAATGATGATTCACATTTCTGGTCTAGTCTTATGAAGGTGAATTGAGACTTTTTCCGCTTTGGATCCTTCATTGTAAAAGACGGAACACAAGTACATTTTTGGGAAGACAAATGGCTTGGGAATTTGTCTTTACAGGAACAGTACCCGTGTCTTTATAACATTGCTACACCTAAACACGTTACCATTGCGGAGGTTCTTTCTGGTCCTTCACCAAACCTATCTTGGCGAAGAGACCTCGTTGGTCCCAAATTAGTAGCGTGGAACAATTTGTTGCCCCGTATTGCTAATATAGAGTTGGCCCATGAACAAGATGAGTTTCACTGGAATTTAAATCCAAATGGAAAATTCTCGGTGAAGTCACACTATCAAGCGTTATTACATGATGATATCCCAAACATTAACAAACTCATTTGGAAAGTGAAAGCTCCACTAAAAATAAAAATTTTCCTCTGGTACCTAAGACGAGGAGTTATATTGACAAAGGATAACCTAGTAAAGCGTAATTGGCAAGGTAGTAAAACTTGTTGCTTTTGTCACAAAGAAGAGACAATTAAGCACTTGTTCTTTGACTACTGGTTTGCTTGTTCAATTTGATCTTTTATTCATGTTGCGACAGGTCTTTTAAAACCCCACAGTATAGGTCATATGTTCAATGGCTGGCTAAGAGGTGTCAACAAAGATGTCAAGCTTTTACTCCTGCTAGGAGGAGCTGCGACTTGTTTGTCTATTTGGCTCCGCATGAATGATATTGTTTTTGAAAAGAAAAAAAATTATTTCTCCTGTGCAGGTTATCTATTTGGTTACCTACTGCCTACGTACTTGGGTTATCCTCCAGAAGCCGGATTTGCAGGATACAGTTGTAGCAGTATCACAACAGTTGACGCAGGTGGCCAAGGATTTTTTTCTCCCAGGCACATGGGTGGCAGTCTAGTTTACGAATTGATAGTCACTAGATTGCGCCAAGTTTCTTCTCTTTCTTTAGCTGTGTGCCTCATGTTAGGCAGAGGCCCGAAGTTGTCCTCTTTGGCTTTGTATCAATTCGATGTATTGCTTCTGAGGTTTTAATTAAGGCTTCCTTTATCAAAAAAAAAGGGAAGGCAGGTGCAGGACTAAAGGTAGAGATGAATGTTTACTGCAGCACTGTTATTACAGTGAGATGACCACATGACGATCACTGGTATCGTCTTCAGGGGATTCAATGACTGATGAATGAAGACATCCATTAAATTTGTAGGGTTTGAGAGTAAGATGCACAACTAAAGCAAACATGACAGAAATGCTCTGATTTCTAGTACCTTCATGAGCTTGAGAAGGTCATACACTCATATGCAGTGGTCAGTGAGCTACATGTCCATGCTTGCTCCTGCAAATCGCTTGAAGTTTACTTAATCTACTTTTATGGAACATTTCTGAAGACAGAAACTGAGGAAAGAGGACAAAAAGGATAGCAAGACGTTTTCCTTCCAAAAGAGACAATACAAGCTGTAAAAAACGAGAACAAGCTGCACCTAAAAAAAGGGAGAGCACAAACTGGCCACACAGTACGCCGCATTAAGCTGGAATTTATTAAATTAACTGAGTGAAGCCATGCTAGTAGTTTATCACATACTCCCTCCGTCCACATATAATAGGCGTAACCATATTTTTTCCGTCCTCGAATACAAGGCGCCTCTGCGCATGGCTGCATGCAGCATATATGCCCGTGAAAAAAATTAGCGCGAGGAAAAGATTTCCATCCAAAAAGCCGGAAGGAATCTGCATGCGCGTGGAAGCCGAACGGAATGCACACGGGGGCGAGTCTCTGCTTAACGGCGCGTCATGGAAAATCGTGGGCCGCAGTAATTTGGAGGTGAAATCGAAGGGAGACGCGGGCGAGTCTATGCTTAACGGCACATGACGAAAAATCATGTGCTGCAGTAAATTGGTGGCGAAATCAAAGGGAGACTCCTAGAAATGCACAGTGATTAACGACCACTTTGGTCTTGGTGTTTTTGGAGTTGCTCCTACTATATGTGGACGGAGGGAGTATTCACATACAACATATGGGTGTTTCCAAAATAACAGAACCAACAAATAGGCACGAGTTCAGTAAGTATTTGAATTCGCAAAATGGCAACAGATCCACTCTCAAGACAAGACAGATCACAGATGTCAACACTGACCATAAAACTGCAACATGAGCTTAGTACACCCACATCTAGAGTTACCAAGTAACATACCACAACAAAATTCATGCCATAGCCTGCTAATTACACCAGAAGCCACAACAAAATTCATGCCATAGCCTGCTAATTACACCAGAAGCTGCTAAGCAGCTGACTCCTGAATGACTAGCCCCATTGTGTCTCTTCTATGGAAAAAAGGTGATAGTCAAAAGCAGTAGAAGGAAATCTATAAAACTAGCACATGTTAATCGCCATGTTCGTTTAAGCTACTTTTCAGCCACGGAACAACGTTTTCCTCTCACAACATTTCAGTATAAACATCAGCATCAGCATAAGCCAAATTTCAGTATAAGCAAACAGGGCGAATATCTTTTGCTCGATTACTTCAAAATGGCAGGTCAACCAAGGCAGACATCAACTGTCTTAGTCAACAGTCGATGTTCCATTTGCCTCCACTGTTTCTGTCTTCAAAAATGATGTTTGAATCTTGCACCGCGTTCCCTGTTGGTGTCCTTTGTACTTCTTTTGCTAGGAATGGCTCACGGCAACTAGGGCAGCAAAGATTGTGATTTAGATACACCCTGAGGTATTCATAGTTCATCTTGCATTTATTGCATGAGGTCCAAAATGTATTAGGCTGTGCCACAGGTGCACGAGTAGCAGTTGAAGGTGCAGGTGGGGCATGTGTTGCTGATACCACTGTTTGCTTGCCTACTGTTGGCTTGGAGGCAGTAGCAGCATTAGCTGCGAAATTATAGAAGCCATTGGATGCACCAGGGACTGTGCTTGCTTTACTTGATTGCACTGTCCTCTTTTGGTCATATATGGCTCGCTTGGTTCTATGACTTCTATCCAATAGCACCGTGTATGCCTCTTGGACCATCTGGAAAGCACCCTCAGAGCCCACTGACTTGTTTTTGTCAGGGTGGAACTGAAGAACCAACTTCCTATACTGTTTCTTGATCTTTTCATCATCTGCATTCCTCGTGGGAACAGAAAGGATAGAGTACCAGTCCTTCTCCCCAGCAACCTTCCCTTCTGAAGCAAGATAGATATCAAAGGTGGCGATCATTTCATCAACGCCCTCAAGCCCAGGAAAGAGTGTCTGAGCCTTGAGGGCAAATTTCCTGGCACCCTGCGAGTCCCTAGCTTCAAACTTCTTCTTTGCAATACCCTTCGCCCTTTGGGCCTCATCCTTGTTGCATTCCATTTCTTCACACACCTTTGGAAGTACAAATAGCCACACCTTTTACAATTGATTCACAGAATTTAGGTCCTCAGAGTCCCAAAACTATTTTCACCAATCAGCACCGAACAGAGGAGCATACAAGAAGTTTCCAAACCTGCCTAGAAGGAAACAAATGTTACCTAAAATTGCAAAACTTGCGACTAGTTAATACGGGCAGACCCAGTATAGGACATGGGTGGCACTAATTTTGCAAAGAATAGAAGTTAGTAGGTGCAACACATGTATACGCTGGCATTAGGGTTTAGGGCAGGGGCAGATCCAGTAATGGACATGGGTGTACACTTGTAAACCCAATATTTTTTTTGCAAAAAATCGAAGTTTGTAGGCATGTATACACTTGTAATTAGATCAGATCCGAATACAAATAGCCAAATAACTTAAATTAGGGTTTGGGTGACCGGTTTCATGGATCAGGAATGGAAACGAAAGAGTAAGGGTGCGCATACCTGGCGTGGCGGATGCTCATCGCCAGTGAAGGATGCGACGAAGGCCTCGAAGGGAGTGACGAAGGCCTAGGCACTTGGCGCGTCAGTGGTCAATTGTTGCACGGAGGATGGAGAGACAGCACATGCCGTGTGGATGCCTAAATGGCAGAAGAAAAGGCTGATGGGTCACGGGGTGGGGCGGGCAGATGGCATAGGGAGGAGCCGCGTGGGGTGGGGCGGGAGGGGCAGTGCGAAGAGTCGCGAGGGGAGGGGTGGGCAGGTCAACCGGCGGCGGCGCTGAAGATGAAGAAGCCAAAAAATCAGCCTCCGCTCGACTTCTGGGTTTCTCCGCTTTGCAGTTAGAAGCAACTGGGGAATGAGCTCTCCTAAGGCCCTATTCGGCATGACTCTGCTATCTACTTCCTAGCGGTTTTTATTGTGAAACTAGGTTAAATGGTGTACTAGAATAGTTCTTTGGAAGAAGTTCAAAGAAATACGAGCGGTTTTTATACTAAGGAACCGGAACATAGCTTCTCTTGCCTTCTCCTCACAACGGCTCCTCCTTAGGTGCTTCTTAGGAGGAGCCGGAGTCAGAGGGAGGAACAACAAATTATAGTTTCTACTTCTAGAAAAAATGGCCCTGACTTCTCTTGTATGCACCAAGAAATGGCTCCTCCTCTTGAGATGTTTGGCATGGCTCATTCGGCTCCTTTGTCAAAACTGATGTTGGAGCTGGAGCCAAAGCTAGAGTTGTGTCAAACATGCCCTTGTAACCAAACTATCACTTAAGCTATTTTTGGCCAACGTTGGTTTTAGCTTCACCAGAGAAGCTGCTTCATAAGAGGAGCTAGAGTCAAAACCATTTTAGGATGAGTCCAAGCCCTGCCAAACTATACTATTTTCATGTTTGGTTTGTGTTAGGTTTTTTCTAATGAGAAGTTGCTTCGTAAGAGGAGCCAGAGTCAACCATTTTAGGATGAGTCAAAGCCCTGCCAAACTAACCATTTTCATGTTTGGTTTGTGTTGGGTTTTTTATCTAATGAGAAGCTGCTCAATAAGAACATCCAAACATGACCTACATCCTGGTGTGACAAGGGCGAATGAGAGTGTTTTTCTCTTTAATTTGATGATATATTTTCACATATTTTTTGAGTTAAATGCATGAGGGGTCTGTTTCCAAACTTGTTAAGAGATGCCATTTAAGTTCATGAACTTTAAAAATGCATTTATGTATCACTAAACTTATAAAGTGATACACCATAGATCCATACCGACCATGTGGATATTTTGTCCAACTTAACATTGCCACTGTGTTGGTAGGGGCACCACGGGCACGAGATCCTCGACGTCAACCTCTACGTCCAACAATAGGGTCATTGTCGATTTGATAATGCAAAGTGACGGACATAGTCATGGTGGCAATGCCACGTTGGATAAAATGTCCACGTGGCCGGCATAGACCTATAGTGAATCACTTAACAAGTTTATTGATCTAGCAGTTTTAAGTTTGCGGACCATGCAAATCATGATGCTAAGGATGGATTCAATGTGGTATACACACTACAAAGATACATTTCTATCTTGTATACCTTAACATCACTTAAAAGTGGTAACCCACCAACAAATTCCATGTTTATGCATGTGTGTAAACTTGAAGCCAAACCATTTGAACACACATGTATGGGGAGTTACCACTATCAAGTCAGATTTGGTGGTGCTTATCCAAATGTTAACAAGTTGCCATAATGCTTGGATAAGTATTACAAAGTCCAAACCAAGTTAGCAACTTAGTTGCGGGTGAAGTGCTAGCTTGAAAGCTCTTAATTTCCATATCATTGTAGAGTTGTCATCAATTACTAAAAAAGGAAGATTGAAAGTCCCGATTAGATGGACTATGTGTTTCATGTGAGATGAGCAGACCTTTAGTCCACATGCTATGTTGAGCAATACTTGAAGGCCATGGAGGAGATATGTCAGTACATGTGTTGCGCTCAATTAGTGAAGATAAGAATGAGCTTATTGAATATGGGAATTGACGTAGTCTCATATGGCAAGATGGTGAAGATCGAAGTAAGGCTTGGTTGCGAAGGACCGGTTGCAGTAGTGAAGGACAAGCTAGAGACTCAGAACACGATGGACCATCGAGGCGGTGAAGTTCAAGTAGAGGGCTTAGCGCTGATGGACCGAGGCAACGGTGAAGAGCAAGCAAGGCTAAGGTCGATGGACTATGAAAGCCAAGTGAAGTTACGAAGTAGATCATATCATTACATGAAGGTCAAGTCAAGTGAAGATAATTGTTGATATCAAGTGGCTTGGTGGAGTGAAGATGAAGGAGCTTCATTACTATGGAAATGATCAATGTGGCGTTGTTGGCCACATATGTTGATGATCATTGTTGATGATGAAGATGGAGGATGGACGTTTGCATGGTATCACCGACATGGAGATTGAATAAAATGCGAGAGGCGAAGGTATATTTGTAAGACATTTTATTTTACCGGTCATGGGTGTGTAGAAAAATGCAAAACCGGATTTGAACAATATGGGATGACTTTGTCTGTGTATATACCAATGCAGTAACTAGAAATATTCTACAACCTAGAATCTAGTTTTTTAATAAAATATATAAAAGAAGTTGAATAAAATATGTAATAAGTGAGTTTGAACAATACGGGATAAAAAAAATACAACTAAGAAGATGAAAAGGTTGAAAGCTAAAATAAAGTTTGAGATGTAAAAAAAAAAAAGATGCAACAAAAGCTGATAAAATCTAATCTTAGGTTTCATCTAATAAGTCATATTAAAATCCAAAGAGATTGCAATACAAAAGATGAAAATGCACATTGAGTAATTGGTAAATTTACCACAGCCCAACAGAAAATATAGGGTATCTAAATAAATGGTTATTTTATTAGGAAATGAATAGAAAGAAAGAAAATAAAGATAATCAATTTTAATTTAATGGATCCACAAAACATTTAGTGTTTATATATAACATAAAGTTCTAGGTGGTCCTAGAACATGGGGTGATGGGCTAGTAAAACCTAATACAGTTGGATATAGCAAAGGATCACAAAAACCTTGAGTGCTTTTAGCCTTTTAGATGATGAAACAAAAAAAACTGCTTGTTGTAATTAACAAAGAACAAATTAAGTTCGATTCAAATACCAAGTCTTTGTGGAATAGGAGCATGGAGCATCATATATAGCACCAACACTACATTTTGGGTAAGCTGATTTACTAAAGCTCACTCATGAGACTGCTGATCTGATCTGCTGGTCAAAGAGAGAGGGCGTTAGAAGGAAAACTTGAACAGCATGTCATGCTGGTACACCCCGCCGGGCCTCACAATCTCCGACGGGAAGTTGGGGTGGTTCACGGCGTCCGGGAAGGCCTGCGTCTCCAGACACACCGCGCCGTACTGCCCGTACACCCTGCCGCCCTTGCCCTTGACGTTGTTGAGCCAGTTGCTGGTGTAGAGCTGCACCCCGGGCTGGTTGGCCCACAGCTCCAGCGCTCGACCGGACGCCGGGTCACGGAGGTACGCGACCTGCCGGAACCCAAACTCGTCGCCGTCCACCGCGTAGTTGATGTCGAACCCGGCCATGCCGGCGCCGGAGACGTGCTTGATGCGCGAGCCCAGGAGCGTCGGCGCGCGCAGGTCGTACGGCGTGCCGGAGACCGGCGCGATCTCCCCCGTCGGGATCATGGACGCGTCCACGGGCGTGCACCGCGACGCGAACACCCTGATGAGGTGGCCGAGGACGTCGCCGCTACCGTCGCCGGCCAGGTTCCAGTACGCGTGGTTCGCCAGGTTCACCGGCGTCGCCTTGTTCAGCGCCGTCGCGTTCATCCGCGCTCTCAGCTCGTACGGGCCGCAGCACAGCTGGTACGTCACGTACACGTCAAGGTCCCCCGGGAACCCTGCAAAAATAAGTATAGCTGCATCGTCAGCTCGTTGCTGTATTGGTACGACTGAAACTGAACTGAAACTACCAGACTATCACCCTGTTCAGTTCGGACTTCGGACTTATTTCTTGGAGTTGCTGAACTACTAGTATATATCAGCGAGGTCAGCGTGTCACGAAGATTCACATGAAAGAAATTAGTATCAAAATTATCGTTATATTATATAGGCTCGCATTGGTTTTCACCTTGCTCCCTGTCGAAGCTGTGGTAGTATAGCGTGATGTATGGGGAGTCACCGCCGGGCACGTACTCCTTCACCGTCCAGATGACTCTGTTGAACCCTCTGTGCCCACCTTTTTGATTTACATGTGGTGTCAGCATGATCAAGCCAGTGAACCATCGGTCAAATATACATGGCGTGCATGGTAATTCACGCATGATGTTGAAAAAACTAAGGTGAATTCACAGTGCAAAATTAGTTACCGTGAAGTACGGTGGTGCCGTCTTTGTTCAGACGGATGGTTTTCCCATCGAGTACGAAGCTGCCGTTGGCGATTCTATTGGCTACTCGTCCGACCACGGTTCCAAAGGCGGAAGAAGCGTCCTGATCATATATACAGTTAAAACTTCGTGGTATAAAATCTGAAACAAGAATGAGATTCGAATAAAAAAGGATTTAACTCCGTGATATAAACAACACTGCAACCGCAAACTGACAAACTAACCCAAGAGGAATACATAATGTTTTGACATCAATTAACATCTGCTGAAAACAGGAGGAAGAGCAACAAATACACTTACATACTGTTCTATGCCTATATAATTGTCAAAACAGAGATATTTACCTCATACTGTGCAAGCTTGTCATACCCAAGGACGACGTCGGCCAGGTTTCCTGCAGCAAGAAAGCATGCCTACTTGTTTACATTACGAGCGCTGTATATTACAAAACGTTAATGGTTTCTCTGGAAGCAGTGGAACCATACCTTCAGAGTCAGGCACAATGACAGACATGAGGGTGGCTCCCCAGTTGGTGACCTTGATGGAGAAGTCGCCCTTCTTGTTATGGAGCTTGTACACCCCAACCGTCTTCCTCGCAGCATCTGTGCCGCCGGCCAATGCTAGGCACAGCAGGAGCAAAGGAATGGCGAGCAGTGCAGCTCTAGCCATTGGTCAACACTACTAGCAAGCACACAGGCACACAGTAATGTGCAAGTTTACAAGGGGGGAGAAGAGATGGCTGGTGGAAGGAACACGCAGATGTGTATATACACATGCAGATGACTGAACATTCTCTTCTATCGAAGTCTTGAGCCTTGAGTAAAATCAGAAGGTCAAAACTCTCCGTTCAGAAGTTGTCATCCAAATGCGTGTTTTTTGTCTAGAGATTTGAGAATTTACTGGTTCATAGTGGCTAGTCTCAAGATTAAATCATCCGGACTTTCCAGCTTCTGTCCTCAAGAGTCAATGCAAACGGCATCTTTGGTACAGAGGTTCATATAAAACTTTTTTTTGAAACAATAGAGGTTCATATAAAACTCAAGAGACGCATAGAACCATGCCCGTGGTACCAATAAACTAAACCCGAATGAGAAGTTGAGAACCGACACAATGCACCCCTACTTTCGACCAATGCATATATTATTCCAACATGAGCAATGAAATAGTAATAGGCTGAAATAATAATAGGTAAAAAAAGAAAGAGAAATACGACTTATCTTACTATTACTAATTAAAGAACCAACAGAGGCTCTATTTTAATTTTCAGTAAACGTGCTAGGAAAAAAAAGATAAATCCTAAAAGATCAGACGATGATCACAAACATTTGGCCTTCAATTCGAAAAACTCTAATCATTATTGTCAAAAATATACAGCTTAGTTAGACGTGTTGCTCGACCCACCTAATAAATCCTACTACACAGTTGGATATACCAGAGGGTCTCAGAACACTTGATTATTTTTAGATGATGAGACAAAAGCCTGCTTATTCTAATTAACTACAAAAGACACATATATATCTATATTTCAAACTTAATACTAAGGAGCGATTCTTTCTTCCACCTCTCACTCACTCCTCGTCCATCCATCACTCATCTTCGTCTCTCGTTCTGTTGTCCCTCACTCTCACCAGTGTCAGAGGATGGATATAAATTAAGATGTGGAACAACTATATAAATAAAGCTCCACAACTCAATTTTATGGTGAAGACAGAGGGGAAAAAAAACAGTAGAGAAAACTAGGATATAAAAGAGGAGAAGATGATACACAAAAAACAAAGGTATAGTGGAGGCCCTACATAGTCATATTGAATCCTCCGCCACTGACTCTCACCATTCTTGTTTTGAGTTTGGAGCTACAAAACTTTTGTTGACACCAGGGCTTCGCCACCCGAGCCTATTCGCATCTCGCTGCACACGAGTGTGTGGCCCGTCTTACATATTTCTTAAATTCACTACAAATACAAACGATAGCCACCTATTTAACTTGAGTCAATCTCCTATCAAGTCTTATATCAAATTAATTCTTTATTGCACTAGCATTTATTATGTATCATAGAATTTATTTGATTTAAAGTTTGGCCTAGCGCAATTAAATCCAACTAAAATAGCTAGGTCACTATCATTGGCACGAACATCGCGTAGCAAATTGTGTGTCCTGTTTTGCAACGTGCGGGTATGTTTGCTAGTTAAGTTAAAATACAAGTCTTTGCGAAATGGAATCGATCGCGCCCGGATGTCCGGACGCTTGCGCTTGCCTGCGCCCCCGCGTATGCATGCCGCTGCGCCTGCTTCACGTGGGGGCCCGCACCGCTCCGTTTCCCATGCCTACGCGCGCCCACTCGGGGGCCGTGTCTCGATCTATGCCTGCACTGTTTCCTACGCCTGCCGCTCGTGCCCCCTCCACACCCACACGCATGCACGCGGCCTAGCAGCTGCAGCAGGCGACTACGACAGGTGGGTCTCTTTGCAACATATGCAACACTAAATCTACTTTTGCAACATCTAGATAAAACACTTGCAACATACATCCGAAACAGTTGAAACACTTGCAACATACGTCTGAAACACCAGGAAAACACGCGTGTAGCCATTGCAAAACATATGCAACATCCAGATGAAACACTTGCAACATATGTGTGAAACATATGCAACATCGAGATAAAATACTTGCAACATATGTCTAAAACAGCTGAAACATTTGGAACAATACACTTGCAATATACGTGTACAACCATGACAACATATGCAACATCCAAACGAAACACTTGCAACATGCATATGAAACACCTAGAACACTTGAAACAAACACTTGCAACATGCACTTTTAGCGCAACATCTTCCTGCTGCTTGGGCGAATCGAGGCTCGTCGACGCAGAGCTTGACACCGGCACGAAGCTCAATGCCACAAAGGTTGCCAGTTTGGAGCTCACGGCGGCGCTGATATCGGCGGCAACATGCGTCTCGCCGGCGGCGGCGCGCACAGAGCCCAGGGACGACGAGCGGATGTCGGCGGTGCGGAGCTCGCCGGCAACACAGGGCTCTCTGGCGGCAGCGCGCACGGAGCTTTCCGGCAGCACACAGAGAGCGGGTAGGGTATGGCTGTGACATTCGTGGGACGGGTGGCTACGCAAGTTCGAGATGAGCAGGAGATGCACAGGCTCCACGACATACTTCCTCTTCGTGTTGCTTTGAATGGAGAGACGGAGGAGAGAGACGAGATGGAATCAGAGAGGATAAATCTAAGTGGCCACTTGATGAGAATATCCGATAGTTATGTGGTGGAAAAAAAATACGTGGACCATGTGAAGCCCCGTAGCGTTCGGCGTCGGGGCGTGGGACGGACGTCCGTGTTGGAGCATTACGATTGCGAAAATACTCCATTTAGCACCGCCGCTACATCTTTGTATGCTGAAGTTATTAGAGACGCTCGCTTGAGATGACTGATCTCATCTGCTAATCGAAGTGGCCTTAAAAGGAAAACTACGCCACGCCGGGCCTCACGATCTCCGACGGGAAGTTGGGGTGGTTCACAGCGTCCGGGAAGGCCTGCGTCTCGAGGCACACCGCGCCGTACTGCCGGTACACCCTCCCGCCCTTGCCCTTGATGTTTCTGAGCCAGTTGCCGGTATAGAGCTGCATCCCGGGCTGGTTGGCCCACAGCTCCAACGCCCGCCCAGACGCCGGGTCCCGGAGGTACGCGACCTGCCGGAACCCGTTGCCGTCCACCGCGTAGTTGATGTCGAACCCGGCCATGCCGGCGCCCGAGACGAGACTGACGCGTGAGCCCAGGGGCGTCAGCGTGCGCAGGTCGTACGGCGTGCCGGAGACTGGCGCGATCTCCCCCGTCGGGATGAAGGAGCCGTCCACGGGCGTGTACCGGGACGCGAACACTTTGATGACATGGCCGAGGACGTCGCCGCTGCCGTCGCCGGCCAGGTTCCAGTACGCGTGGTTCACCGGCGTCGCCTTGTTCAGCGCCGTCGCGTTCATCCGCGCTCTCAGCTCGTACGGGGTGCCCAGTTGGTTGTACGTGAGCGTTCGGCTACCATTATAAGCCAGCTTATAAGTCAGGATACAGTATTTTCCTCTGCCAACAAATCAGCCGTACAAATCAGCATAAACGATTTTACGAGCATTGCCCCGAAACCCTGCAAAATTAGTCATTACTTTACTTGCATCGTCATCACATTTTACCAAAGTAGTACGTTACGACCTGACTCGTGGAAATAAACAAGTGATGTGAATTATCAGCTCGTTGCAGCATTGGTCAGACTAAGCTGAATCGATCACCCTGTTCAGAGTTCAAATTAAACCTAAACTACCTCTTGGAGTTGCCGTACATATCAGTGAAGGTTACAGTAATGCTGAAAAGCCAGCGATCGTCCGCCCGGGCGGACCGTTTATTAGGCCGAGACGCTAGCCCAACACTCCCTCCTATCCCCCCTTGAGAGTTTCTCAAAAAAGAAAAAAGAAATCAGTTTTCCTGCCTCATAGCCCTCTTTCTTCCCCACCGGCCACTGCATCGCACCCTGCATGCAGCGCCACGCTGTCGCCCACAGCCCCATCAGCGACCAGCGCAACCGCGTGCCCCCACCGCCTCTTCGCTGTTTCGACCTGGCATCGTGCCGCCCTCCCCACCCACCTGCCGCGCCGCCCATGCTTGCTCCCCCGCGCCCTGGACCATCGGCTCCTTGAATTCGGGGTGGGAGCCGAGGACCGCCGGCTGCCATTCTTTCAAGATCCGTTCGTCACCTCCTTGAATTCGATGCGGGCGCCATCTTCTACGCTCTTCGCCAAGATTCGCTCACCGACCTAGCTCTGCTCCTTGCCCTAGGTTGCTGCCTCCGGTGAACTCCACAAGCCGACGAGCCTCCATTCTCCCAAGCAGCAAGAAAATGTTGCGCTGAAAGCGTATGTTTCAAGTGTTTCAGAGGTATGTGCAAGTGTTTTATACAGATGTTGCAAAAGTTGATCCGAATGTTGCATATGTTGCAATGGTTGTACATGTATGTTGTAAATGGTTGTTCCCAATGTTTCATCTATTTTTCAGACGTATGTTGCAAGTATGTTTTATTTGGATGTTGCATATGTTTAATACATATGTTGCAAATGTTTTATATGCATGTTTGTGTATGTTTGCAATGGTTTCAAGTGTTTTCAGGTGTTTTTGTAAGTGTTCCAGACGCATGTTTCATCTGTCTTCTTCTGTATGTTCAAGTGTTGCATCTGGATGTTTCAAAAGTAGATCGCTTGTTGCACATCGGATGCGCGTGGGAAGCGGGAGGAGGCGCGAGCCGTCCCTGCGCTAGCAATGTCCTGGCGGTGCGGGCCCTAGCATGGCCACGCGAGACGCAGCGCAGGCGGGTGATGTTCGGGCAGCGTGGGCCCCACGTGGAAGCGTGAAATGGGGGCACGGAAGCTAACTGGAGCCACGGGCATCCAGACGTGAGCATACGTCCGACGTCCGGACGCTAGCAGTACCCGCGAGCGTGTCACGAAAATTCACATGGAAGAAACTATCTAGATGTATGTTTCGTTATATATGAGTGCATTGGTTTCACCTTCCTCCCCGTCGAAGCTGTGATAGTAGAGCGTGATGTAGGGGGAGTCACCGCCGGGCATGTACTCCTTCACCATCCACATGACTCTGTTGAACCCCCTGTGTCCACCTTTGTCATTTAGGTTGGCAGCATGATCAAACTAGTGAACAATTTGCCATATATGCATCGTGAATATATTCATTCATGAGGTGGAAGAAAGTAAGATGAATTCCCAATGCAAAGTTACTAGTTACCGTGAAGTGCGGTGGTGCCGTCTTTGTTGAGACGGATGGTTTTTCCGTCAAGAACGAAGCTGCCATTGGCGATTACATTTGTTACTCGTCCGAACACAGTTCCAAGGCCGGAAGAAGCGTGCTGATTAATCCATGGTAAACTTAGTGAATCCGAGTCAAGAATGAGATTCGGGTTAGCCAAAAACAAATATAAACTAGGGCTAGTTTGAATTGGAAGGGTTTTTTCTCACTTCTGGGTCTAGAGTTGATCTTGATGAAATGAAAGAACGAAGTCCAAAAGAGTTAAAACCACTCGCCTAGTTAAACGCTTGTTTGGCTGCACTCCAATCCACCCAAATCCACATAGGTTGGAAGGAATTGAGATGAAAAGTTAGTGATGTGATCGGCAATCCTCTACACATCTCTAACTACCTGGAATTAGTCCCAGTCTACACCTGCTACATGAGAGGTGTCCCCCAATGTCATGGACTAACCATAAGGAGACCGATACAACCCATACACCCACGACAATAGATTCAAGGCCTAGAGCCACCGCCGGCAATAAATGTTGGCATCAACATCCCTACACCGACACAATACCAACTGAGGCATCACCAACAATATGCTTGCGTCGAGGACGAGCATGCACGAGTTCCTGGTGTTGGGGCATTTGCTAACTGGGCCAATATTTGACATTTAATATTCATGTGATTAGTGTATTCATCTGATTAGACTAGTGGATCTCATGGGTTAAACATGTTCAGAATCTAACATCTTACACTACTCGGAGAAGTTAAGAGTCAGAGCCAATGAAGATACTTTTCCTAACATCATTGGCTTTCTGTTCATTTCAAGAGAAAAAAGCGCTTCCTACTATTGTATATAAGATCGATTCCCTAAAAGTCAGAGCCAATTTGGTACAACTCGTTGACCAACTTCAATTCTGTCTTCTCTGTGGTTCCACGTGAAAGCCTTGCCAAACGCAAACTCAAGAAATTACTTAGCAAGCGAAGATCCATAGAAAAGGATTTCTACTACATGGGCAAAGCTGCCTAAACGTGCCCTCTCCGGCTCCTCTTCCTCCTAGGCTAAAGTTGGGTGCCAGCTCCGGTTGCCAAATGAGGCGACAAGAAGAAGCCATCTCAAATGGGACATTGGACTTGTTCTATGTTGCATCAGCTTACTAGTACATTTTGTTGGATCTCGATGTAATCATCTTTTAGGCCTATCATTCTATAGTCTTTCTGAACAAATAGTACTGATTGTCTAACAGATTGCACATATCACAGTGGCACAACACTGCAACCATAAACTCACCCAGGAGGAATACGCATGTAATGTTTTGGTATTAATTTCTGTTGAAAACAGAGGAACACATATATACTGCTCACAGATATTTGTGAGCTTACCACATATTTTGCAGGAGTGTCATACCCAAGGACGACGTCGGCCAGGTTTCCTACAGAAAGAAAGTATGCCCAACTTGTTTACGTTACGAGCGTTGTATATTACCACAAAACGGTAATGGTTTCTTCTTTTTTTACAACACGGTAATGGTTTCTTTGGAAGCGGTGGAACCATACCTTTAGAGTCAGGTAAAATGACAGACATCAGGGTGGCTCCCCAGTTGGTAACCACGATGGAGAAGTCCCCCTTCTTGTTCTGAAGCTTGTACGCCCCAACCGTCTGTCTCGCTTCTTCTGTGCCGCCGGCCAATGCAAGGCACAACAGAAACGAAGAAATGGGGAGCAGTGCAGCTGTAGCCATCGGCAACACTGTTAGGTAGCACAGAGCAGTGTGCAAGTTACAGGTGTGTGTGTGTGTGTGTGTGGGGGGGGGGGGGGGGGGGGCGGTGTTGGAGAAGATATGGCTGCTCCAACGAGCAGGCAGATATGTATACATGCAGATGACTAGTCAGTCTCTTCTATCCAAGTCTTGAGCCTTAAGTAAAATCAGAAGGTCAAAACGCTCAGTTCACAGGCTGTCGTCCAATTGATTCTCTCTCTGTCTTCTCTAGAGATTTGAGAATTACTGGTAGTTTACGACGCTAGTCTTTAGATTACCTATTTAATCATTCCAATTTCCAGCTTCTCTCCTCAGCATTCAATGCATATGGCATCTTTGGAGCCAGAGAATCGATATAGAACTCGACGCATGGAAACCATGCTCGTGGTACCAATAAACTAGCGGAAATGCTGGGTCAGGCCGTTCGATCGTCTGGACGCTCCACCCATCCTCTGCGTCATCACTATCGCACACCGCTCGCCCTTCTACGCCGTCGCCACCCATGCCGCCCCCACCCCACCCTCTATGCGTTGCCGCCCAGCTCCGCGTTGCCGGCGAGCTCCTCGCCGTCAGCGAGCACACCGGTGACCTCCACGCACTGCCGACGAGCCTCCATTCACCAAAACAGCAAGGAGTGTTGCATTGAAAACGCATGTTGCAAATGTACGTGCGTTTCAGGTGTTTCAGTCTTCCAAAGGTATGTTGCAAATATTTTATATCGATGTTGCAAAAGTAGATCGAGGATGTTGCAAAAGTAGATCGGGATGTTGCAATGGGTGTCCTATGTTACAAGTGTATGCTCCAAATGTTTCATCCGTATCACACGTATGTTGCAAGTGTTTCATCATTGTGCCAAAAGTAGATTTGAATGTTGCATTTACATGAATGTTGCAATCGTATGTTTCAAGTATTTCAGGTATTTCATATGTATGTTGCAGGTGTTTAATGATATGTTGCATATGTTTGTAATGGCTTTCTAGTGTTTTGCAAGTGTTTCAGTTATTTCGGATGTATGTTGCAAGTGTTTCATCTGTATATTATAAAAGTAGATCTGGTGTTGCACATATTGTAATTGGACCCACCTGCCACAACAACCTGCTGCAGCTGCTGGGGCACCGACGAGCGGCGCAGACAAGCGCGTGATAAACCAAGCGCAAGCGGTGGGGCGTGCGAAATACAGATGGTGTGGGCTCCATTTCTCCTGTGCGCGCGGCAGCGTCCGACGCTAGCGCTCCGGATCGAACATCCGAGAACTATGCAATATGTCAAAATTGGCAAGCAAGGATCAAGAGGTAGTGCTAATAGTCCACATTTTCAACAGTACAAATCTATTAGCGTCTTAGCAAGAATTACTCAATCATTTCCAAATTGTAAGTTGTTCTGGCTTACATAGCTTTTACTACATAGATATAAGAGAAAAATTCTTATTTGACCCTGGTTTAAAGTTGTCTTTCTTCCTTGGCCCTGAAATCAAAATTTGTTACCCATTTGGCCTCACTTGAAGTTTCGTTTTTAATGTCCTTACCGTCATCTCCTGCCTCTAACACCGTTAAGTGGCACATGAAATGACCAAATTGCCCCTGAGACGTTTAGAGCTCTAGTTCTTTCGGTATAAAGAGAGAACCATATGTCCTTAATTATCTCAAATAACAATGCCTGCCTTCAAACACTAGGACTTTGAAGATAGAGCTACAGATGAAGGAAACCATTTATACCTTCAATTGCTTCCCTGGGAGTCTTGAAGCCAAGGCCAATGCTCTTCCAGAATCGGTTGCCTCCTTTGCCTGGCTTCTTAACCTTGCCAGATTTTCTTTGAGCTATAAAATTAAGAAGAAATCTACTGTCACGAAATGCATATCGCTCATGGAGAATAGAAAGCATGGAAGAAGCAACAAACTCTCACCTGAGGAAATAAATCATGTATATGGCAAGCTGTAAGGTGGCCAATCGACTTTTGCAGGGCCTGGAACTTGGACATATGTCACTGCATCAAACCTATCTGACCCTCAATGTCTTTGAAATTGTAAGCCTGAATTGCATTCATGCTACCTACTACCTCCCTGGAGAAAAGAAAGTCACTATGCCAAATAAACCAATAGAAATCGATGGCGATGACCTTGTTGATCCCTGCAGATTCAGTCGTGCCTTGTTTGGACTTTTTCTTAGCTGCAGGCTCAATGCTTTGGCTCCTCCTATAAATTCAGATTTTAGTAATCGAAAATTTGAGCAAAAAATTTGTACAAATAAGAATCATACCCTGCTGATCCTGCAAATTCAAAAGTGCTACGTTTGTCTTTTTTCTTAGTTTCTGGTTCCACGCTAAGGCTATGGTAAATATAAATGAAGTTACATTCAAAGCATGTTTTCATATAATGATGAACACAAGATTTTCAGTTAACCTTGGTAGAAAAGACATGGGTTGTGTTGTTGTTTCATCATCCATCGGCACAATGCTGGATTGAGATGATGCCTTCTTCTTCTTCTTTGGTTCCCTACAAGTGAAAATATTAAGTCAGGGCCACTTATCTTTAAATTTCTTCTCTTCTATGGTACTGAACATATATACAAACTTTATTACCTCAGTGCTGCTAGAGCTTTCTTGTCTTCTGGATTACCCTTCTTACATGTATGCCAGTGATGCCCAACCTCCAAACAAATATAACACTTATGCTGTCTTTTTTCTTATTCTTGTCAGTGCATCCTTTGAACCTTTTGTTCCTTCGCCTACCAGAAGTGATCCTTTGAACCTTTGGTTCCTTCGCCTACTAGAAGTGGGTTTTAAGAGTGGAGGATACATGAAAAATCCATGTGTTGCTTTAGGCCATTGAGTCTTGTCAGGCATAGCTGGGATTAATTGAGCATATGCTACTCTAAATTTGTCAACAGAGTAATAAGGGTCCATATAGTTATCTAGAACTGCATTGCTAAGTGATGTAATAAATGCTATGGCATGTCTACATGGAATTCCAGAAACATGTCATTGCCTATAAGAACATGTTCTATCAAGCAAGTTTACCACAAACCGGAAGCCACTATCCCCCAATGCAGTAACTTCTCCCACTTCCTCTGAGCATTCCTTAACTTCCAACTCCAACTCCCTGCTCTATTCATTCAATTTCTTAATTATATGTGGGAGAATCAAACCATCTAGCTTCCTTGAGATTTTTCTTCTTTGGTTCCATTTGGTCATAAGCAATTGCCTAATCTTGTCCAAGAAATCATCCAAATTTAGGGACTTGTGTTCCTTAATCCAATTATTGAAGCTCTCAGCTAAGTTGTTGGTTACATAGTCTACCTTTGATCTAGTGGAGAACTGACTCCTAGTCCACAACCTAGTATGGCATTTCCTTAGGTATGCGGTTGCGGTTGGTTTTTCTTTCTCCATTGCAAGCCAATGCTTCTCAAATACATAGGGGTTCCATGAGTAAGCTCTGTCCAAAGATGGTCATCAAACACTTTTCCATGGAACTTCTTCTTCAAGTTGGTCACTAAGTGAAACATGCATTCCCTATGTTCTACTTGTGGAAACACCTCTTTTACACCATTCATGATCATGATATTTACCTGGTATTGCTCAGAAGGAGGGTGGCTCGCAGGTGATATTTACCTGGTATTGCTCAGAAGGATCACAATATGCTATGAACATGTCCTCAACCTTTGTATTCATGTGTCTCTCAAACATTAACATCAAGTCTTGGTCTGTTTGAACTTCTAGAAAGCTTTTCAAAACATGGTCATGATATTGCAGATGAGCAACTTCCATGTAACCGGGTGGATATTGTTCTATGATTGATTGAATTAAGTCCTTTAAATTTGTTCTATCACTATCCACAATTTTCTCAAAACAAAAACATCTTAGATCCTTCATAGCTTTCTTTGGATTACCAAGATGTTTAAAGTTCAGCATAAAAGTGGATTTAGGATCCATCCTGTGAGCAAAGTAATTGTAAACTTAAGTCATCGATACAAACACACAAATCAGAGTCGGTGATTGTTAACTCACCCTTTAAGCCAATCTGCTTGTACTGCAGATGCACCACCTCCTCCAATGTCTAGGTCCTCGTCTGCACCTCCGTCGGGCTCCATTCAACCCGTGCTGGTGTCGCAGGTGAAAGGGTCGAGATGGCGACTAGAGGGGGGTGAATAGTCCTTTTTAAAATTAATCGCGTTGGCTAACTGAAACAAGTGCGGAATTAGAACTATCGGTCTAGCCAAGACTACACCCCTCTATCTATGTTTTCTAGCACCTTCCAAAGATACCAATTAAGCAACTAAGGTGCAGGGCTAGCTAGAGCTCTCCTAACCAATTCTATGAGCAAGGTTACACAAACCTATGCCACTAGTACTTTAAGCAACAAGGGAGCTCCTACACATGCTAGTAAGCAAAAGCACAAAGCCACCTAAGCTCACTAGCAATGCTCAATAACAAAGCAACCAATGCCAAATTAGAGAGCGCAATTACTTAGCTACACAAACTAAGCAATGTGACTAACAAGGTTACACAAACCAAATTAGCCACGCAAGAGAGCTACTTCTATGCTACACAAGCAAGAAGATAACTAGTAAGCTACACAAGCTCAACTAATTACGAAAGAAACAACACAAGCTCAATGTATATGAAAGTAATTGCAACCTTGTGTAACGGGGATGCAAACCAACGGGAAGAACAAGGTTGACACGATGATTTTTCTCCCAAGGTTCACGTGTTTGCCAACACGCTAGTCCCCGTTGTGTCGACCGCTCACTTGGTGGTTCTGCTGCTAATTGGCATCACCCTGCCAAGCCCGCACGTCGGGAGCCGCAAGAACCTACCCCGGAAGTGAGGGTAGCTCAATGACACGCTTTACTAAAGTTGCTCTTCACGGCTCCCGCGGGGCGAGCACAATGCCCCTCACAAAGCACTTCTCCAGAGCGCCGCACAAGCTTCTTGCGGGCTTCGACGGAGACCACCACCAAGCTGTCTAGGAGGTGGCAACCTCCAA